GGCACGCGAATTGTGCCCAAACACGTCAACGGGGACAATATTAATAATTACACATTTGTCAGATAGTCTTAAAAAGCTAAATGTCCGAGCGGCTGCCATATTGGGACGGTATGCCGGGCTGCGCGCGCAGCTGACCAATTACCGAGGTGCGCAAAAAGCTTGCGCAGACAAATTGTAGAATTGTAGCGCGCTGCCACTCACGGAAAGGCTCACGAAATGGCGGCAAATTATTAAACATATAATTTTCGTTAACCCAATGTCTTCTGGATTACCAATATAAGCGATTACTTTGAAATTTACGAAATATGAGGAGGTAGATATGTTAATTAAATACCTACCTATTATATGAATGTAACTCTTTAAAAATGTATGTTTGATTATTTTGACGTCAGTAGGTAAATGGTTAATTTTTAATAGGTTTTTTATTTCTGGGCCAAAAACAAAATGGTAGCCCATATTTGGTTACTCTACTTTTATAAAGACGAAGCAGTTAAGGTAGTTTGTAAATAAATTTAGGTAACTAATAAATTACCTATTGAGTTATCGATTGCAAAAATGATTAAACCTAAAAAGCCTGAAGCCTAAATATAGCCGCCATGCGTGAAAGTGTTATCTATCCCTGTCACTCTTGTATATAATTGTACTATGTGTGAAGAGTGACATTGATAAAGGTGAATTCACGCTTAACTGTCGTTAAGTTTTTGTTTCAGGTGCCATTTTGTATTGCAAAGAATGCACCTCGATATACGGTATCGGTAATAAAATATAATATAATAAAAAACTAATTTGATACAGACCAGCACATAATGAATTAATTAATGTCTTTCGCGTTCTATAAATGGTTAAGTGATAAACATTAGGCCATTTGTTTATTATTCTGACCATTTATGTTTAAAATTCATTTTTTGTGTTATTTATCGCTCTATATGCTTAAATAAACAGTATGATAATAGGTTATAAACGAAGTTTCAAATAATAATTATGTTTATCTCTATTTTTTTAATGGTAATTATTTTAATAAAGGTTATTTGTTATAAGGTTTGCGACCTTATAAGAAAACATTACAAGTGCCTAGTATTGTGTTGTAATGTTTTCTCTCTCTAGCATATATAAATATTCCAAATAATAAAAGTAATAAGGTTTTTTTCACATCAAAACGATTATACAGGCTAAAGTTGATTTACAATATAGGTACATTAGATTAAAATAATTGATATATACGAAGTCGAAATGGAAAGCCATGAATCATGTTAGTTCATCTAGGATATATACCTATATTTCAACCTAAGGATAATTTTTAAAATCAAAATATGTCGACAGCCTATCTTAATTCGTTTTTTTTACCTATCGGTATAAGCTTATGCTTCTCCGTTAAGTTTAATATAGACGGAGTTGAATTGAAAATAATGAAATAATAAAAAGCAAACAGAAAAACTAGTTAAATAGAATCCTAACACAAAGCAAATAATTAAGTCCACGGAGTTAGTTAAAATCATTCAGTAATTAATTAAATCCCTTATCAGCTATAATTGGAAATAATAAAGGAATGTTGACAGCAAAAGAAACCAATTAACAGCAGTTCTATTATATGTCACAGTTTACTTACAAACAGTTAAGAAACTTTAAGTACTAGGTTTTTATTGGACATTAAATGGTATTTAGCACATTAAATGTTAATGAATTCGTTTTATATCATTAGTTCACCAATTTAAATAGCCAATGTTAATTACGTTTGGTCAAAAGTACCTTTTATAATAAACGAGGCTTGGTGTTTGTCTTTTCGTTGTTCCAGTTTGAGTTATAACTGCGGGAAATTATTTATATCATTCCAAACTAAAACCAAGCTGTGACAATCATTTGTTAGGTAAGTATATATTAAAGCTTAAAAATTTTCCACTTAATTTGCATTTTAGTTTCCAGTCTATATATTCTATCCACTTCAATTTGTTGAACATCTGTCTGTTCATCGAATAATCAATAAAAACAGATCATTGAAGCATTAATAATTTTTATTTACCGGAAAATTCATGGATCGTATACACTTTTACATCGCATGTGGGTAGTTGTAATTTATTCGAGTTTAATTGGACACATTCACGAGGCACTTAGTAACGCACTATTGCTACTGTGTTATTAGTAAAACGAGTGACAATTTTCAGTAATAGTTGGGTCCTTATTCATTATTCTCATATAAGACTTCAAAAAAAGACGTAAACATAATGAACATCACAATACGAAAAAATATCTAAACATTTACCTAAATACTATATGGAAAATATGTGTCTACCTACACATATGTACTTAAAGCTTATGTATATATACAATAGCGAGTAAAACCGAAAATGGTTGATCAAAGGGCTACTCATATAAACACGGACGTGCAATCCTTATAAATCCTACCAATTTAAAGCCTTAATAAGCATCTGCATAACGCATTCATCCGCAAGAGATTACAATAATCCAATTAAATTTAGACATTGACAACTAAATCCTATTAAGTATCAAAGAGCGCGCATAATTGGACGCCATTACGCGGTTGCGCAAATTGTCTATAGTCTGTCATCAAAACAAAATGGCGGTGCCGTACGCGCGGGAAAATAAATACGTTTAGAGATGGATATTATATCTTCATTAGCGTAAGGCTGTGCATTGATATGTCTAAGGGTTCGGCCATTGAAATTGTTTGTATTTTATCACTCCAGTTAGACGTTTGCTTGCCTTTTTGGTTTGTCTCACTATTGTATCGGATCTCAATAACATCTGCCTTCAACACAGCGGTATTAAATGGCAATATGAGTGGGAAACTAAGATATATAAGAATATTTGTATGCGATTCAAATGTCTCATAGAATTTCAGTTCTGTAATAATCTAGTTGGTTATTATAATATTGACGATGACTGTTTATCTATTGTTCATTCGCCTATATAAGTGAGTAGCTGTTATTATTGTTTATAATCATATTTACTATCTACTTCTTTCTATCTGCTTTAAATGCTCAAATTATGGACTTTGATATTGTATTTAAAAAAAAATCACTTTTCACCGTATGTTTCTATAAATTAATACTCTTTGTCGAAATAAATATATGTACCTAATTCATTATGAAATTATAAGTAATACTACAATATATATATAAATATAGCTATTTTAATTTGTTTAATCGACGTGTAGTGTATCTATATACGTGGATATGCGAAATATTAAACACAACACTAGAATTTTAAAATTCCCTACTAAACAACTGTTTAAACTGTATCATACTATGATTTATTGAGTTATCATGATTGCAATCATCTTAAGCTAATAACACTACTAAGGTCAACTCTATTATTTGATTAAAGAAATAATAATGATGACACGCAATACTTATTAATTAAAACGATGTCATTTTGCTTTTGCGATAATAACAATAATTCTTAGCCCAGTTTCGGATAATCTTACAGCTGTCATATAAATTGAAATTAGCTGTAACCGATAGTGCATAGACTACAGATAAAAACAGTTTTATCACAAGAATACTAACGACAAGTTGAGTACCCGTTACTTAGTAACGAATACATTTTGTTAAAGTTTTAAATTAAAGCTATAAATAGCTTGTTTACTGCAGTCTTCACAGAATCGATTAAAATAATGAATACTCATGGGCACCAACAATAACCTAATGAGTTTCTATATTAATTCTAATAATAAAACTCATCAACATTATAAAGGGCTCGTATGAACTGTAAGTTTGTATGTTAATGCAGGTCAGGGAAGGAGTCAATGAACGGTAAATCGATGAATATCAAGCGACAACAAATTAAAATACATTATCGGGTAACGTGTTTGCAAAGTAACGGGTACTAATAAGTGACAATTAGAATTATTTTGATGTGAAAGTGTGAAAAAATTAAAAAAATAAGTTTGAGACCTATCGCTCTGCCTATACAAATGAAACTTTGCTTATAGTCTCACTCGGAAAATAGTTACAATATCAAAGTGATGTTTGTTATCTTTTACGGACGGACGCACCTGTTATGCTTGTAATAGTAGAGAAAATTATGTCAAATACAATGACAATCGTTGGCTAAGGCTACAGTGTTTCTATCCACCGACAGTTTGGTATAAAAATGACATAATAAAAATGACCATGGCAAACAAACACTTAAAAAAAAGCCTAAGTAGGTACTATCAAAACGTTCTTGAATCCTAGGACACAAAAACTTGGAAGATATTATTATTATTAAATTTTAATTACATATTACAAGATTATTTAATCTTCACAATGTTTGCGAACTCCTACAAAACGGCTAAATCAATTATAATGAAATTTTGTATATGAGTTGAGAATACGCTTTTACATTTTTCGTGCGTTTGATAAATACTAATAAAATAATATTGATTACTAATTAAGAATATAGTTTTCAAAATTCGCTGGTGATAACCGGTAGTTAGAACCCTTGGTTTATAAACTACCTGTCGACTGGGACCACCGCTTAATCACGCTTCAGTATTATATAGACATGGTGTCTACCGAAAGTCAGACGACATTAAATCGTCTGCGCCGAACAGTCTAACTCTACTTAACTATCAACAAATGTCTGTTTGGTTCGGTCAAAGCCAAAGTCATCAACAAATCTTTCAATAGTACCTTTTATGATGAAAGAGGACCAACACGCATGTAGTTCACTTGATGATAGGTGCAAAACTTCAGCGATCTAACATCTGAACAAGATACGCCACAGGATATTCGGAAACCACGGAACGTAATTTCGATATCCCTACCACCCATTTAATATTGAGACAAAGTCCAACATGTTTGGAACCCGCTGGAAATCGAACCCACGAATCGTTGATTATTAACCATACTACCTACTATTACATCAACGGATAAATGGCCTGCATAATATCATTATTGACCCGCTACCGACTGACCTATAATATGAAAATCAATAGAAATAGCATTAAAATTCAGTGATTGTGATTATATCGATTATATGTAAAACGTTCTGGATGTATAATGAGGTTATGTTACAAATTCCAACGTGAGTTTTCTTTAGATATACATAACTAGTTTACACACCCAAATTGGTCTTCTACGTCCTGTTTATTTTTTGCGATAGGGGAGGACAGAAAAGCATGGTTCACCTAATGGTGATATAACATCTAATAAAGATACGCTGTCGGCCTATTATGGCTTCAAAGCAAGTTTCCGTATATTCAAATATACGGAAACACAAACTGAAACCGCAACGCGATTAATTCACGTTTCGGCTCGACCTTCACGGCTTTTTCATCTATGGACGGTGGTTTGTGACCCGGACGGAATTTTAATATTCCTCCCACCCATTTAATATCCAGAGTATCAGACGGAGTCCAACATGTTTCCTAAAAATTATAAATTTATTAAAAAAAATTGGAGGTCTCGGTTGGGAACGAACCAACCCTTGGATTATTATCTGGCCATACCATTACACCAAGGAGCGCGTCGCTTTCATTTAGAGGAATTGTTGTTCATATAACAGACATAATTATTACTTCTCACAAGAACTATATGATTCAAACTACTTACGTTCCTACTACAATAATATTTTCCACAGCACTAAGATTTATGTAGGACGAGACATCCTGGATATTAAACAATACTGACTTTCTAAAAAAATATCCAAGATATCAACAAGTCTTAACAGAATTATCTTTCCACAGCTGGTGCACCAACCGGGCCTCCAGTGGTCCGCTGTCAGCTCCGAAAGCACAAGCCCAACAGAAAGCCCAGGACGCCCTTTACCACGCAGCAACTCCTCGCCTTAGAGAAGAAGTTCAGGGACAAACAATATTTGAGCATAGCGGAGAGAGCCGAGTTCTCTTCATCACTCCGATTGACTGAGACTCAGGTAAATACTGTCTGTAGTTTACGCAAGTACATACTAAAATAAAACTAGCCTACGGTTGCTGCATAACATCCGAAACGTCGTTTAAATAAAACATCATAAGTCCGTGTTTTATTTAAACGAGACTCAGGTTTTTTTATTTAGGTATTACGAGAAACACAGATATTTATAGCTCTCTATAACATTTTTTTTAATATGTAGTTTTTAAGACATTTTAGATGGATTCCGATCATCAAATCTCTTAAAATTATTTCATTTGCTGTACCTATGCAAAGGCACTATGACTTATAGTTTGTTGAAAAATACCGCTTTCGCTGTAAAATACATACCCTCACTTCTTTTTTGCATAAATAATTTATCATTATATGTGTTCCTTTTTATTTGAAGTTTAAAAAAAGAACTTCTACTACATACCTTGTAAATCTCTCGTAATTTCAATTTCAGTTAAAACCGTTTAAAATTCCTGCTATTAATGGTACACTTTCTATTACAGGTAAAAATATGGTTTCAAAATCGGCGAGCGAAAGCGAAAAGACTGCAAGAGGCTGAAATTGAAAAACTTCGGCTTTCCGCGAGACCGTTGCTGCCACCTTCCTTTGCGTTATTCGGTGGTGGGGGTGCTCCCCCCTTATTTGCAGCCATGGCCGCAGCCACCAGACCCCAACTGAGCTTCCTCGGCGGGCCCCCTTCCCATCAGCATGCCATAAATATGAATATCCTGAATTCCCTACAACCACATTGACATTCGGACAACGCGACAACGCGTGATCATCCGCCATCTTGAATTGGCGGGAAACGGACTTATCGCTTAGTGATGGATTAAGACTAGTGTTGAGACTATTTCAGTGCTTTTATAATATGAGTCATTAGAATCCTTACATTTTTAATCTGTGGCAGCAATATTAGAAATTAGCATAAATCTCTTGGTCTGCAATCTGTTTACAATTATAAGCTGTGTGTCAATTTTCGTGTGATCAAGACTTTAGCTTGCTTCGGTAAATAAAAACAAAGCATTTTCTTTATCAAACAAGAAGCCGTTTGAATCATATTGATAAATGTGACGTAGTACGGTAAGCAAAAAATATTTTGTTAGTACAATCGAGAGTCAGTAATAAGTAATAGTAGAAAAATAAAACTAGAATAATTAAGTAAGTTTAACTTCCTATGGTAATTTTTCCTAATTTATATTAAGTAACATTTACGCATTGTAACTATAAAAACTATATATTTTATTTACTACATACTTATGTCCTAGTTTCTGAATATAATACCTTAATTACCAATTTACAAGAAGAATTTATACATTTGAAATTCTGTGTTGTATATACCTATAGACTTATTTAGCCATACTATAGTTAGAAACTGTAAAATAGTGTTTAAATTAAGGTATACATTGCTTATTTATGTTGGTTACACTACATAGACAAAAATAAATTCATGAAGTTAATAACTTAGAACCTTCCTCTAGCCAACAATGTCGAAATTGTCTTGAGGACAGTCCGTCATCTCATCATCACATCGTCATAAACATCTGTTTTTAATGTGATAACTGGTTTAATTTACGACGAAAACTAATAAAAATACCAATTATAACTTCGTCAATTTTGTATTGTTTTCATTATTAGTATACTAAAATACAAATTTCCTTAGACCTAATTAACGATTTGAATAGTGATTAATTTATTCGCCGAATTTTGTAAAAAAAATTTAGTGGGTTGAAAATTGATTCGATAGCAAAATTATATTGTAAATATCTATTAACTTATTTGTATACGTAAGAATAACTATCGTAAAATAGATTTTTTAATGATATGAATCATCAATATGATAACAGCGCGAGGTAGTTGCGTAGATTACTGATAATCAATAAAGATTTTGTTTTCTTTATTATAAATAAAACCAAGTTACAACTGATATTCTGGTTTGATTTGGTACTTACCTATATATTAGCTATAGTAGTAGCTAGGTATATGACATCGACCTTTACTTGTATAGGTTCATCTTACAAGTAGGTACAAAGATTATTCTAGAATAACACCAATTAATGTATTATCCTTTCCTAAAATAGAACAAAATAATTAATTAATATTTATATCCTACTTGTACTTTAATGACACCCACGTTATTTTTATAAAATATTCAATAACCTTTATTAATGAAGTCCAATTTTTATAACACTAATTGCCTTATTATAATTCAATTAAGGGCAGTTATTGTTGACAGACAAGCCTATGTCGCCTAAAAAGAATTCACGGTTGCCAGTACAAGTTTACCTCGTTTCCCTCCATCGCTAATTGGTGTTGCCAGTAAAAAAAAAATACAATTCGACTCGTTAAACGATGTTAATTCGTCTTAATGCACAGATTTGTATTCTGCGTCGGACGGAACGCGCCGGACGAATGTCATTAATTACTCATTTATTTATTTATTTACCAAAACGGCCTCATTATTACTATATGTTGGCAGTAATTTATTGTAATTGGTTAGTTTTATAACGACGAGTCGACCAGACAACTCAGGCCTGCGCAGTTAATTTTTTGCTAATAAAACGTAGCTGTAACGAAGCAATTCGGAGTTTTTCTAGGGTCACCTTTGAGTTGTTATTTCGCAAATGAATTGTATGAAGCTTAATGAATTTTTATTGTCCTCCCTTTATAGACGTTTGCAAAAGTTTCACCTTCTACAGCTGACGAATGAAATGACAACCGTTCAGTCAACAATTAATGATTACTTAACTGTGTACGAATTAAATTAGCTCGCCTTTTTCAAACACATTTTAATTGGATGGATTTATGGATGTTTTACTTAGTCCTAGATGTCTAATAAGGTAATATTTTAATGTAATCAAGTAACGTAAATTTGTTTACACTTTACCAACATACATTATTGATAGACAGTAAGGCCTTAGTCAAATGCCGATGATTATAAGAGGGAGCTAGAGGTAGAGTGGCCTAATAAAAAATAGAATAAGGGGGGAAAATAAAAACGCGAAATTGACTTAGGCGAAAAATAATTTGTCCTATTACCTATTTGTGTAAGAATTATTGTAAAGAAGTTGACGCCTACCCGGTAACGCAAACCTGCAAAATAAAGTTATGTTTGACAGCACTTATTTGCTAATTGCAAAATTGATAAAAACCGGTTTGAAAATGCCGGTTAACGTTTCGTAATTCGTGCACCGGTTTACCTTTTATAAGTTATAATTGCTTCAATTAATTAAGCAGGTTATTCGTAGAAGGAATTAATTAGTGATTAAAAATTGTCTCTTTCTTTTGTTTCGCGATAAAACAATGCGAGAGTATAATTTTATAGAAACACATCTTCCAGGAAAGATGAGTATGAAAAACATTATTTTGTTTTCATTAGTCTCAAAATAGTTCTCAAAGAGAGGCAAAGTAACCTAACTGCAATTTTATGACTTGATATTTATATTTTTATAGTGTAATAATGTTAATCTACAAGAGCACAGTGACCGAAAATTGTTAACATGATTTTAACACACACAATAGTACAAAACCATTTTCGCCTAAGTTAATTGCGCATTTACACTTTTCTCGCAGAATTGTGTTTTTGTTATTGGGCCACTATGCCTCTAGCAGGCTCATATGCGTGCGAATCTATCGTTGTAGATGTTTGTGTGTGTAAATTACACAAACCAATTGGTCAAATCTATACACTGTCACGTTTATTAATAAATCTTAACTCTAATTAAATTCTAAACACAAAGTTGCCATTATCATATTACGCTAAAAGCGAAAAATAATTAGCAAAATGCGCGCGAGTGTATCTCATGTTAGCAATCAACTGCAGTTAATAAACAGTGGTGATGGGTGTGGCTGGGTAATTGTACGCTCACCTATAACTAATATGTCCCGAATGCGAAAAAACGTCCAGGGTTGTCACTTAAAAAAAGTGAAATTCGCTTTCCACTAAGTGAAGAACAAGGTAGAACTTCATTGGCCTTTTATTGCGTACCTGCAAATTGATTTTTGGATATTGACACAGACTGATGTGATTAAACTTGACGGCTTTTTCATCTGAAAATTGAAAAAGAATGTAGTTGATATCTACACATTTTTCCCTTATATTCGAATCCGAGACCTCTAATATTTAACGTAACGCTAGGAAATGCAAATCGTTGAGTCGTAGTAAAACTACTATTTGTAAAGGTATTTAGTAGTATTATGTGCTAGTCACTAACATTAATTAGTAAGTGCTTTTTTAAACTTTTACTTCATAACTACTTGAATAATTAAAGTTATTGCTCTTATTCTTGATGTTTTAAAAGTAAATTAAATAAAAATAATCAATGAATTTATAAAATTAAATTGAATAAAATAATCTAAGGAGCTTAGACAACACATCAAAATATTATTTATATGACGTGTAAGCCATTAGTTAAAATATTCCCAACCCTAACACCGTTCCGCCATCAACCGGTTAGCCATTTGTCAAAAACATTATCCCGAACGCAAATATAAACGAATTAAGTTTTTAATAACAAAACGCCTCCTTTGTATTAGTATCATCTACAATATCTAGTGAAGCTATAAATAATATTTCTGCGCACTGTGAATCTATTTTTAACTTTTAAAGGAAATATAACCTCGATTAATTATATTCCTTATTGATAACAAATTGCTTGAAAACTAAATTCGAAAGATTATAGTCTAAATAAAATTTCCTATCTTCATTTGTTTCATGTTCTTATTAAATGCATCGAGAATCGCCAGCGGCCATGGTCGACAGCTAAGACAAAATATGAAAGATTATCTGTCGGGAGCAAAATGGCCGCTGCCTTAGTTGATGTTTTAATTAGCCCACAGGCAACGCCAGGCTGCCAATTGGCCCCACGGATTAGGGCTGTCACAGACCAAGTAAGCACCGATTTAAATCTACAAATATCTAGGTGACAGTTAACAGTCCTAAAAAAATTAACTGTACTGTCACATGTCCACATTTGAATACGATAAAAAAATTATCAATATCTAGGAGTCATCTAGAGTAAAAATATATTTAGTTAATCGAGAAGTTCCATACATCGTGACTCATTCGAATAAAGGTTCTGTGTAATAAATTTTTGTGTAAAAAATACCCCCGTTCAAATTTAAAAAGTGCTTGCACCAACCCTAGCGAAAGGTTAGTAACTGCTAAGAGGCCATGAAAATTGTTTAACGCCCTTCTAGTGTCGGCGGATCTCTTCATTTAGCTTGAAATTGAAAGCTAATTCTGATATCACTACCGGAAGTTGATTTAATCGCTTTTCATTATGAGAAGTCTTTTGTAAGTAACGACGGGTTATTAAAATGGGTATAGATCTGGAATATATCTTGTTAGAATATAGATAATAATAATTAAAGAACAACAAATAAAAATATGGTGCGAGGGACATTATTAAAGACCTTACTGCATAGATATCAGGACGGAATATTTCAAGTTTATGCCCCATGCCCCACACACATATATTATTTGTACATAAACATGTTTCTGTAACATTTGTAAGTAATAAAGCATGTATGTTATACGGATACCAAATAAATAAATAACTCACAACAAACAAAGAATGTCCCCTTTTTTATTATGGCACTACCTAATATATATTTATTTATTTAATCATAAAAACTACAAACATAAAAACTCTTGTCCAGGAGGGTTTTCCTAACAAATTAGTTTTACCAAAGGGTACTTTTAAAAGACCTGGGCGATGCCTTTTATGTATGAACTGATCAGGTACTAAGAAAC